TATAAAGATGTATTAATAGTATAGACAAGATGACATGGTCAGCATGCACATGCATGCACGTGCGCGCTCGTGTAATGCATAAAACAACCAATGTACTTGATTGCCTTATTTAATGAAACTTATTGGAAATAAGACACCAAAAGGAGGTTGGGGAGAGTTTGGGGAACATCTGTAACGGCCCCCGTTACAATTATAACTAGATATTATTATTATTATTCTTTTTTTCTACTTTCTTCTCCGGTACTTTTTTGTCCGGGAGTGTTCTCATAGAACCACTCATCTGATTGACATGAAACCTTTTAGGGTTAATAGGCATGATGTGTAGGTGTTCGGAACGAAGGTCATTTTGCGCGCACATGCATGCACGTGCGCCCCGCGTGCAATGAGTGAAATGACTGATATACTTGATGAAGCCGTAACTTTTATATTTCTTGATGAATTAATTTGAAACTCAAAATATAAAGATATATTAGTAGTCTAGACAAGATAACATGGTCAAATTAGCGTGAACTCACGCGCATGCACGTGCGCTCTTCTCTGATTGGCTGAAACAAAAATCTCAATAATTTCCTTGTTTTTTGACAAAATACTTTGAAATTTAGAATATAAGTATATATTATAAGGTGCTACAACATGTTATATAGGAAATTTTTTGAAAACACGCGCATGCAGGTGTGCTGCAATCTGATTGGTTGAAATTTTAAATGTCTATAACTCCCTTGGTTTTCAACAAAGCAGGATGAAATTTATGACATGGATAGGCACATAGAGCTCCTACATTATGATACTTTCAAAATTGAATGCAAGGCCATGCATGCGCATATGCTGAATTTTGATTGGCTAATACTTAAAGGGTTACATCTCTCTTATTTTTCAATGAAATTCTTTAATATTTAAAACAAATGTATGTATTGTGAGACACTTTAAGATAATTAATGTGAAAAATGTAGAAAACATGTGCAAGCACATGCGCTGAAATTTGATTGGCAAATACCCATATGGCTATATCGGAGTAGTTTTCCGATGAAATACCCTTAAAAATAAAGTGTCCATCTATATTACAAAAGTATTGTCTAATTTATTGAAGCTTGTAGGGAATGGGGCATCATAAGGGATTGGGGAGCCGTTTGGGGAACATCTGTAACGGTTCCCGTTACAATTAGCACTAGTTTCTATTGTAATATTCCACACACAGTTGCACATTGTGTTTATGTCTCCCAGCTGATTCTGTATGCATGCTCTGGGAACGATCATTTTTTTAACCGAGGCTATCTACTTACAAATTGATTAATATTACATAGCTCTCAAAGATCTTGTTTAAGTCTGCAACTCTTAAATTCTTTGGCCCTTATAATTACTTTCTATGTAAATATAACCCTATCGCGGAGTCGTACGTTATTTTGCTAACATGTTTCATATCAATTGTAATGCATTGATTTAATACTAATTCCAACTACATGTACATATTACTCCGTTTAACTGATCGACACAAATATAAATAACAGCAGGTATGACCTGTCGAAGAATATGCTTCCTAGATACCTGATCCCAGTTAGGATGATTCCATGGATCTGGATTTTTTGGCCCCATTGCAATTTTTAAATTGTTTCAAGGACTAACAAGATAAATCACTTTATTTCCTATGTAGCTTGTAATACGAGATTCGATTGGTTAGTAAACAGGGTGTAAATTTCCGTACACTTGGCTTGAACCGGGAATAAATAAAGTGACGTCAAAATGCATAGTTTCTTTATCTAAAAAAGTAAGTAACATAACGTCACGATGCTATGTAGCACGTAGTAAATCTTATGGATATTTTGAAATACAATTGATTAGACTTGTGTTTACAAAGAATTTAGTCGCCCGCGTGGCGCAGTGGTTAGAGCGTTCGCTCTAGAGTCGCGGAGTAAGGAGTTGATCCTTACGTCGCGGGTTCAAATCCCACTGTGGGATGTGGAGACAGGTCCTACGGATGAGACCGTATAAACCCACAGTAGGTGCTGGCACGAAAAAGATCCCTCACTGCTCAATGGCTCTGAATGCCGAGTATAGGTAAAAAATTTGCAGCTCTCCAACGGCAAGTGGTGGCGTCTCCATATGAGTGAAAAATTCTCGAGAGGGACATTAAACAATAAACAAACAAACAAACAAAGAATTTATTTGGTTACCTAGGAGATAAATTCATTATCCAGGTCCATTCAATAGTGTAAGGGGATTTACCCAGGGTTGTATTCCATATACCCTTTAGCCTTAGGGCCTCAGGGTGTATGGAATAAAACCTGGGGTAGACCCCCGTACACCCTTGTTTGAACCTTGATAACTAACATAATTTTATGACTGAATTTATCCTTTCTCTCTGATTGGCTGAGATCTAACATCGTATAAAACAAAAATCCTTATATTCACGTGACCTTCCAGGTGAATATAAAGATTTATTTTTTCTTCATTGGAATAAAAATAGATTTGTGAATTCCACACTGATATAAATAGTTCTTGAAAGTTATTTCACCTGCATACTTCTAGTCATGTGACCATAACAATAAGGCACATAGAATCTGGGATGATCCAAGGTGGGAGTGAGGGGTGCCGGGGGCCTGACCCCTCCATTACTTTTTATCGTACGTAAATGGACCCCCGTTAATAAATGGACCATAAAATTCCCCCAATAAAATTTTGAGTAAGGAAAATTCTCTTTTGGGGGGATTAGTTGAAAAAAAAAATTATTGGTGATTTGGATTTTTTTTTTATAATGCTGACCCCCTCCCCTTTTTTTTAAATCAATCTTTTAAATGTGTTTGAAATAGATTTATTTCTTCATCGTGCCTAAAATAGATTTTAAAATTCAAAATTAATACATCTGGTTAATATGTATATATTAACCCGTTTCTCTCATAATGTTTGGCTAGGACTTCAGCTATTGTAAACAAGCTTGTTGGCCTTCATTGTTTAATGAGTTTGTGTCATTTATTCATTTAATCATAAAATAAAACAATTATTGATGTTCTTTCAAAAGTACTGTTTTAAAAGTTTTATTTAAAAAAGTATTAAACTTTTTAAAATACGATCTGTCAACAATTTAATTATATAATCTTTGTTTTACCCCATGTTATTCTAGCAGACGACAAGAAAGTAGATAGGGCAATAAAATTGAAAATTATAGTTTGATTGTATACCATCAAGTAAATGTCTGTAAAATGATTTGTTTGACTTATAGTGAAGCAGTTTATAATTTTATTTAAAAAAAAATAAAAAATAAAAAAAAATAAAATAAAATAAAAATAAAAAAAAAGATACATGGAAATGAGCCTGAATTTAAGTCCTAGACAATAACTCCTGCATAAAAAGTATAAATGTTTGAAACACTCCCCTGACTAGTCTTCCTTTTATTCTGTCTTACAAGACATTCTTCCCGTAAAGTCTGCAATGTTTGTAAATGAGAAAAGACAAATCTGATGTGAGTTTTGGATCTTTGATTGGCAATATTCGGGACTTTTTTTTAAAAAAAAAAAAGAAGTCTTCAAATGAAATATGGAGATATCGAACAGTGTTAAAGCTCAAAGTCCAATCGGGAGCAGAGCAAACAGGGACCTCCAAAACCATCTCAGGTGGGATCAGGTGTCATGAATGAGTGAGCATCCCCTGCCGACCGGTCACAACCGCCGTATGCTCTTTGTCATGTTCGGAAAAAGAGGGAAATTCCGTAGACAATTACTTCATATTGAAGCTTCAATTACAGAAAAGTATTATTTACTTATATAAATTATATAAAGGGAAATTTTGCCCTATTTTATTCTCGCTTATTTCTACCTGCTCACAATTGGGGGAACCTAAAACGGGGCGAATTCAAAGAACACGGTATAAGTTCGTAAACAGAACTGTGATTGGGTGAATTTAAAACGGGGTAAGATTGTTTGGAAGTGTGAAAGGACGAAAATAACGCGGGGCGAAAATAATTCTGTGTACAGTAGTAATGTTTTGAATGTTTTAATTAAAAAGACCTTTAAAATCAGGTATTGTTGAAAGTTAATATTAAAATCTAATTTATCATATTTTAAGCTTATATATATATATATATCTATATATCTATATCTATCTATCTATCTATATAAATATATATATATATATATATATATATATATATATATATATATATATATATATATATATATATATATATATATATATATATATATATATATATATATAACAAAAATACTGAAAATCCATATCAATGTTTCTTGTAATTTATTTTCTTCAGTTGAACGCTGCATAGAATTCTACACATGAACTTTTTATTTACCACACTTGATAACATTAAAAATAAATTTGTAAATAGGGGAGATTTTACTTAATAGAAAACCACCTAATAATATTTTCCATCAAGTAAAATTAACCTGATCAAAATTATACCAGTATTTTATAACAATCTGAATAAATGTTCAACTATTATATTTGCAAAAGTTGCGTGTAAAAACTTGTACTGTTGACTTGTTATCCCTAACTTTTGATTGATTTATTGATTGTTTAATGTTTTACGCCGAATCGGCACTATTTCAGCCATATATCGGTGACCCTTGTATTCTCATATCCTATCTGATAGATAAAATTTAAATGGTAGTCAAATCAAGTGATGTTATTTGGAGACAATCAACTTCTTTGGTACTAACATGAGATAAAGATATGACAGTATGTCCCAGATATCATTATGATGAAATTTTTGTCAACCAATTCCGTTGGTTGAGACATTAAATGGTGCCCAATGTCAAGGAATGCAACGCCTTTGGCATGCATATTTCGTTTCTCTGGTTTTCGAGAAAGAGTAGGCTCACTGGAGGCCGCAAAAGAAACCCAAAAACTAAAAAAACGGACCACTGAACTTTTTTATAACCATATATAGCTGAAAGATTGCCAACTACGTGTTAAACAATAACAATAAACTTTTGCTATTGTTAGTTTTTGCAGATATTTTGAAAGTAAAGTCTATATGATTATGTTTATAGTTTCAGATAAGGAATCGATGCTATTAACACAGAATGATTCTTACAAGTTTTTTGATTGCTTTTGCTGTTCTTGTTTCTGAAGGTACGCTACACAGCCATCAAAACAGTGAATTTTTTAGTATTGAAATAAAATCCAATCTACTTAGAATTAAAGAAAAACTTGAAAGGATTAATTAGTTTTGGTAATAGAAAGAAGAAGAGCATAAGATATGACAAACAATTATGCATAGCTTACTGTAGGCAGCAAATGGATTCTTAGTTTCTCAATTAATTTGTTTTTGTTTCTTCAAACAATGAATTAAGCATGTCGGACTGGTTTCTATGGCTGGAAATGCAACCAGATGTGTAGTTTTTTCTGTGGCGGTGATGGCTCCTGTAGTAAATATACAGGATACTGTACCTTCGACTGCTTGCCAGGACGCACTGGTTTGGAATGTAGAAGCTTCTGTCCTTTTAACTGTGGTGGATCCGGAAATTGTAACAAGTATGCATCAACCATTAGTGATAAAAATCCTGCATTAAAATCTGGCAAAAATGAATGAATTTGTGTTTCCTAATGCTACAATTATGTCAGTAATAATGCTCCATTATAATCATAAATAAATACAATTATTAGAAAAAAAATAATCATATAATTTTAGCAGCATAGAACAAAAATCCATTTGAAATGGATCATTTTATTCTCAGTTTTTACACAGGTATACGTCATCTTGTCTGAATGGATGTAAGGCAGGGTACACAGGATCGTCATGTAGATTCTTATGTTCGTTTAACTGTGGAGGAGATGGCAGTTGTGATCAAAATACGGGTTCTTGTCTTCAAGGGTGCAAAAATGGATACTCGGGATCTACATGTTATTGGAAATACTAATAAGAGAAATTTCTCCTTTAACAAAATTTCATCAACAATTTAAAAAAAATATATTATTTTTACTGTGTTCAAAAAAGCAATAAAATATTTATGACAGATGTTTTTATCAACTCATATCAGTACATGTATGACGATCGTTTGCAAAGCTTGCTCATCTAATTTACAAATGCGCCATTTGTTGCAATTTTTTCAAACATGTCACAATTCGTACATGTGTGAGTACCATGAATCTTTCGTAGTTTAAATCTCCAGTCAAGCAGAGTAGGATTTGGAGCAGGAAAGGCATTACAAAAGTCACGCACATAGAAAACTCGTACGCTACAATGAAATACCTCGTCAAAGAAATTATAAAGTTCTACTCATCTAACCAGTTTTGACACATCAGTATAATTTTATATACACGGGTAATACAGCATACTAGACATGTAGGTAAGTTGAATTTAAGTTGGTAACACAATCAGGATTAAATTTTATATTAAATTTCGATGAAACAGTACATTAAAATCATGACGGAGAAGATATTGAACGTTTGTGTTTAGATTCCGCTGATTTTTAACTTCTTTGCATCTTTATGTTGTTTTGCCGAGGAAGGGGGAAGGGAGGGGTAGTGAAATTTGTAGTGAAATTGGTATATATGTTTGAAACAGTTTTAGGGCAGTGCTTTTTGCAAATTCTTCCGGTTTTGTTATTTCGTTTGGATGTACAACTTATGAATGTCTAATCAATGAATAACTATAGAATTCTTGAATAGCTATTCACTAAACTGTTCGGGTGTTATAATCTTAGTGACTCTCAATGTAATTACAAGTAAAAATCAAACAACTGCTGAAACCTGTACATCCTGTATAAGTTATCTTAAGGACAATTAACAGAAAAAAAGTGAAGATAACGAACAGTAATCGATCTCAAAAAATCTTTAAAAAATACAAATCTTTGAAGAGGTTATAAAATACAGAACCCTTGAACTATCATATAAAAGAACAACAGACTTCAAATTATAAGAAGCAGTTTCGATATGTGCCAGCAAGACTCTCAATGCCTACTAGACTAGAAGAGCTACGAAAGTTTATGTTAATAATAAACAAAGCAGAGATAAAATAATCACCCGAGGCCTTGATCTAAGGCTTAGACACCTATGCTCCAAATAGATGTATTCTTTCTGAAGGCAATGTCTAGCATCGAGCTTTATCATTTATCTACAGAGGATTAACTACCCATCACATCCTCTTATCATTTTTCTGAGTCGTCATATAGTATGCTTATATGCCTCACTACTGTTAAGTATTTTTATCTTTTATAGTTCTTAATGTTCATAGTTCTGCAAATGTTGTGTTAACTATGAGAAAAGAATTTTGTCTTGTTAATGTATTTGCTCCTAACTTCGAAAATCCAAGAACTATCTTTTTTTTCAAAAAACGAACTGAAATCCAAATACACATTAAATGAGAAGCATTTTATACTTGTTTACGACTTTAACCGGGGATTTTGTAAAGGAAAAAGATAAAAATGTAAAAGTTTTATTTCTTTTTAATTTTTTTTTTTTTTTTTTTTTTTTTTTTTTTTTGAAGGTGAGTTTATCGAACGCAGGGTCTTATGATTCGACACTTGTCAAGTCGTTCTTTTTTTTTTCTTACTCGACCTCGAAAATGGAAAAATTTGGCGCACTCAAGTTCGTTAGATTTTCCTTCCAACTTGACTATGAATGTTAAATAAAAAGAAAATGAAAATATTTCGATCGATTTAAAAGGTAAATGATTATCCAGTTTCAGCAAAGCTCTGAAATCACAAGAAAATTTACTCCCAGAATCAAAGGCATCATTTACCTCTCACATATATAGCTATTATGATATTACCTCTCACATATTTCTATAACGTCGATCATACCCGTCAACTTTTGTTGTTGTTAGTAATGTACTTTTATGTCGTCAGAGAATATTTAATAAAAGCGAAGTTAAAACTGAAAACATGAACGGTCAGATCATTGTAAAGAAATCCAAGGAAACCTTTTACTTTGGAGACTTTGTTTTAGATTATGACGACAAATATCGAGTTTGTGATCGACCCGAACTGTCTTACATAAATGTTTTGGATCATGATTATGTCAGCAAACTGGAGACTTTAACAAGGCATGTGGACGTGTTCATACTGTTAATATAGTTTTGAAACATAATTATGTAAATTGTGAACTTGTACAAATATATAGAATATAGTGAGAAAGAGAGATCACGTATTTTTCATTATACATGTCATTGTTTTTTAATGATAGTTACAACAGTACCTCTACCTCTCATGCATATTTTTTATGCAAGAGAGGCAGTCCTTAGTTGACCGAGAGTAGTTTGAGCATTCACTATCGTCAGTTAGCCCCACAGATGTTTGATTGGATAAAAAGATGAACTTTACGGAGGCCAGTCGAGTGGGTTATTGTAATTTTTTGTGAGAAAGTTTTGACAAACTTTGGCTACAGTCGGACGGAGGAGGGGAGGGGGGTGGTGTGGTGGTGGTTAGCATGCTGAGAAATTGGACAAACGACGCACACGTGCGCGGGTGAGAGGAACACTGACGTGAAGTTGGCTAGTTCATAAATGAAAATCACGTAATGAGTTTTCTTCAGTTTTTTTTTTAATGTTTTGTTTGTTTGTTTTATTTCTGTTGTTGTTGTTGTTCTTTTTTTTTTTTGGTAAATGTAACGGGTGACGGTAATTTATATTTTTTTGAAGTGTTTCACATAAAACCCTTTGCGCAGCTGATTAACACAATAATTATTAATATTTTGTTACATAAATAAACTCATCTATCCTTGTGTACCCGAAATGTGCTTGGGAAAAGTCATAGTATTACTTGGGTACAATATATTTCGCGAGAAATTTAACTTAACTACAAATTTGAGGGTATTTTCCACACAATATCATAATTTGTATTAACATCACACATTTTTCCCAAGCAAGATTCATTTAGAGAACAACCTCTTCTTACAGATTCCACAAAAATCTCAGATTAATCCTCATTAATCCCCCACGCCTGACTCTTTTATACACACAAAATAAATTTTTCCTTCAACCACGGGTATAAAACAGAGTACATTTCAAAAGTTTATTTTTCGTAGGCATTTTGAACCCGCTGAATTTCAATCATGGGGACGTAAGCGATGTATTTTTAAAATATTCGGACATATAAGATTTCAAACAACTTTTATGACACTTGAATTTTGCAATAGCTACCTAGCATTTACATGTAGTTTGAAATAGAGTGAAATAGAAAGTTCATGACACTCTCCCAGTCATAACATCTCAAGTTGGCAGTGACTTGACGTCATTTTCCATATTTTGGTAGTCCGGAGAAATGAAGGCACAGAGTACACTCTGATATTCTATGGGAGGCCTTAACCTACCTGCGTAGTTCTGAACACTGATTTTAGTGCGCAGTAACCACGATACCCGTCTGAACAGTTTTGGTAATTTTTTGCAATGCAGTCAGAACATTTTCACATATTATGTTTCTTTTTCATTTCAGTATATTATACATTTGCATTTTGGGAGATGATATTCCTTTAAAGTTCACAACTGGAAAATGAACTTATGAAATTTGTCTTTATTCAGAAAATAAAAAATGTGCCAGTCAAAACTGATTCCTTTGAAGCAAAAGAAGGGGAAATCAAGTTGTGATAGACAATTCGGAAACCTATAGAAATAATTAATTCATTTGCAAGATTTTATCAGGATTGAAGCATTTTTAGAAATTTTAAACCTTCTTGAGTTTATATGTGAAAGCTTTTAATTATCCATTGAATGTTAGCCTTTGAATCCTGTTTATATATAATTATTGAGACCCTTTATTTCCCCCTGTGTATTCTCCTACAAATAAACGACAGTATACCGTATAAGTAGAATTTTTAGCGAGACGCAAATTTACCGACTTGTCCTTAAAAATCAGTATTTAATTTAACGAGGCTCAATCTACTTGGGTTGTGCATGTTTTCACGCAGCGTAGTTTTAGATGCGTCACAGTACCTTTGATTGCCATCACAATTGAATACCATATCGTCACAGTTTAAATGACGTCAAATTGCGCTAAAATATTTCGCCATTAATGCATTCCTGGTAGGTTTTGACTGTGCTTGTGCTCATACATTCTGGCATGAAAACTATCAATTCTTGTATTTTAATAAATGTTTTGATTAAAAAACAACTTCGTAACATAATTTATTTTGAGATATTGTGAATTTCTTACATATTAACAAACTTTATAATTATTGCCTTTTAACACCCCCCCCCCCCCATTTTTTCCACTTCTTTTTCTACTAAAACAACATTTTGTATTAGACAAAATGGCGATTAGAGAGAAAATTCTTTCATATTGTAAGGAGCAGTACATTTTGAGTAACATATACAAAACAACAATTATTTCTTGATATTATTTAAATGCGATTTATAAAGTATCTTAGATATAATTTACAGTCCTATTTTGGGTTTGATATGCCCCCATTTCACTACAATAAAGGCTACCTCCTCTTTTCTTTCCATTTGTTTTTAAATAAGGAATGGATATTGCGTAATATATGTGAAAAGCAAAACATTTTACCATTTATTATTATTTTAATTTATCAATTCCATTGTTTTATGTAGTTTTTGTATATAATTGTGTGTAAAACCACGAAAAATGTCCATATTTTGAAATTGCCACCATTCCACTACAATCAAGGCAAGGTAACAAAATTTCGACCAATTTTTTTTAACATGGTACATACAAATATGTATCAAAAAATTCAAAAATATTTGCCGGGCCGTTTTCGTAATTTCCAACTAGATTGGGCCTCGTTAAGCGAGAAGTTCTTTTAGCGATTTTTATTGTGACTAGAAACATAAGGTTACCTCTAATGCGGTGTAAATTGTTAGCAATATTTAAATTTTGCAACCCCAACACCCTCGCTAAAATGCCAAAATTAAATTCCCGCTAAAATTTCAGCTTATACGGTAACATTAAAAGGGATTGTAATGAAAATATTTGAATAAAATCGTAAAACTGGCATTGCATATATGTTTATGCCTTTTATATATCTGCAAATAGTTATATGTGTGTATTCAATTATAAATATATATCGCATGGTGAAAACGCTACTTGATCAGGATACAATCAATGCATACAAATTGCGTCAAATTTTACAAGTGCAAAACGACCAATAACTTGTTTAAACCTTGCTATTTGGGGTTTTCTAACGACACAATCTGCATGCAATAGTAAGTTTGATATCGTTTAATGCTTCCCTGCAATTTAATACCATAAATAATTTTCAGTACGGGTATTATATAAAGGGTTCTTTTTGTGTGGAGTAATAGTATATATTTTCTGTAAACTTCACTGTTTAGCTATCGTTATTCAGAATAGGTTAAAATGATTTTTGCTGGTAATGACTGTACAGTGATCGACATTAACGGTTGTCCGATTGCCCGGGACAAGTAAATTCTCAGTTCGGGCAAGGAAATTGTCGACGTACTTGTCCGATCGGGCAAGTGAATTTTTCTCTTACAAATGTACATATTTATTTAGTTTACATTAATTTATAAATATCACTAGACTGAAGCTAGCAGGAAATAACAGCAACCACTACGCCCGTAGAAGCTGGCAGCCAATAAGGAAATTCATCAAAGGACTAAGAGTGCTCTGACGCAATACTGTTTAATACCTCATTTTCGACAATTTATAATTCATAATTAGATGATTAATGCAACACTTAATTATTTAATAATTCAAACACTTGGAGGCAGTTAAGCTCACCTGCATAAGGAAAATTATGCGGTTTCAAAACAAACAAACAAAAAAGGAAAATGTCACCATCTTTGACCGCTTAAGAACAAACCAACATTAGAAATAGGTTAAGTACTTTGGGGAGAATCCCTTTTAAGCTCTTTTACGGGTCCCAGGAACATGATGGTGCCAAAAGGCTAACCTGAAATTTGCTTACTCCTAATACTTACATTGATAAGGGTTTGAAGGTAATTTAATCTATTTTAAGTTATAACCCTTGAAGTGTGCTTCGAACAATTACTGGCACAAGGTAAAGGGTCCACAGGGCTATTATATACGGCCATAAAAATTAGGCTGAAGTGGTACCACCAAGTGGTGCCAAGGGCGGGTTACATATTTCAAGCAGCTATTATACCTCTTATCTTAGAAGTTTTAAATCATTACTGTGGCAAGCTAGAAGATTTCTAGGACTGTCATTTCACGCAATCGGTATAAGGCTGTAGTGGCACCACCAAGTGGTGCCCACGGTGGGGAACATCTTTCAAGCATTCATTTTACAACCATCATTGATCACTAGAATATACTATCACTAAACTGGTAAAAAGATAAGAGCTTTAGGGAGTATCCCTTGTCAACTTTTTGACAGGTTCCAATGACTAGAAAAGGCCAATGAGGTAACCTGAACTTTGTTGTTTTTCACTTTGTGTATTGATATACAGGTTAAAAGTCAGCTGTTATACCCCTTATCTTTGAAGTGTGCTTCAAATTATTACTGGGGCAAGGTAGAGGGCCCCTAGGACTATCATTTCCCGCTTTCAGAATGGGGCTGTAGTGGTACCACCAAGTGGTGCCAAGTGTGGGGGGCGTATTTCAAGCATTCATTTTGAAACCATCGTTGGCTATTAGAACAAAGTAACACTAGTGAAAGGTTAAGGACTTCAGGGAGAATTCCTTGCAGGTTTTATGAAGGGTCCCAAGGAAAGGAAGGGCCCAGTTAGCTTACCTGAACTTTGTTGTTTTTCACTTTGAGTTTTAATAAACGGGTTAAAGGTCAGCTATTATATCCCTTATCTTTGAAGTATGCTTCAAATCATTACTGGGGCAAGGTAGAGGGCCCCTAGGACTATCATTTCCCGCTATCAGAATGGGGCTGTAGTGTTACCACCAAGTGGTGCCAAGGGTGGGGGCGTATTTCAAGCATTCATTTTGAAACCAGTTTTGGCTACTAGAACAAAGTAACACTAGTGAAAGGTTAAGGACCTTAGGGAGAACCACTTGCCAGGTTTTTGAAGGGTCCCGGGTAAAAAATAGGGCTGGTAAGCTAACCTGAACTTTGTAATTTTTAACTTTGTGTTTTAATATACAGGTTAAACGTCAGCTATTATACCCCTTATCTTTGAAGTTTGTTTCAAATCATTACTGGGGCAAGGTAGAGGGCCCCTAGGACTATCATTTCCCGCTTTCAGAATGGGGCTGTAGGGTACCACCAAGTGGTGCCAAGGGTGGGGGGCGTATTTCAAGCATTCATTTTACAACCATCTTTGGCTATTAGAACAAACTAACACTAGTGAAAGGTTAAGGACCTTAGGGAGAATCCATTGCCTGTTTTATGAAGGGTCCCAAGGAAAGGAAGGGGCCAGTTAGCTTACCTGAACTTTGTTGTTTTTCACTTTGTGTTTTAATAAACGGGTTAAAGGTCAGCTATTATACCCCTTATGCTGTCTGGAACAGCTAGCTAAACCTCACACCTCACACCTCATACTTGATCATTGAAGAACACATGGTAACTGGTTCCATATTTATTAACAAGCGAATTCATATTCCAATCAGTGAATGAGCGAATGAGCCTAGGTGAGTGAGACAAAGTGAGCCTATGTGAGTGAGCCTAAGTGAGCGAGTGAGTCTACACGAGCGAGTAAGCGAATGAGCGAGTGAGCGAATGAGGTAAATAACTGAAATAAACAAAATCAAATACTATAATACTGATATACCAAAAAGACAATAACGGTGTTCCATAGAAATAGCTCACTTATAAACCTTATCATAATAACAAATTACTATAAAGCATATTAGATAAATTGAATAACAATAACTAATTCTCGTGACTTCAGTGACTTTAAACTTTACAAAAAATACCGGTCTGAATAAGTTTTCAATACACAAAAACTCTATAAATAATCACCAAAAAACTTTACAAATAATAGGTATGAAGTTACAAAAGTTTCCTATAAAAACTTACATGGTAATAGGCCACAAATCGTAAGAAGGTAGAATGTTACATGTACATCCTCATGGATGGAACTCTAATGGCAGACTGAATGAAAACTTGCACGAGAAAATGAGGGAGATAACTCCTGACACAAAAGATTTCCACTCAAGGAAGATAATTCAAAAATTTACAAAGAAGGATAACTCTTTCTGATATCTGAATAATACACATATTTCACTCCGTATAATTACACAAAAAAGCAAACAAAAATAAATAAAAAATAAGAACTGTGACAGCACACTCCCCGTCTGATGTTTCTAACATCACATATACAATTACAAGCTATACATCAATGTCATTGGATAGTAGCAGCACCATCTCTGTAACTGGACGAATGAATGTTGACGACTGGCAACCGCGTTTCGTGACACGAATTTCAGCTTTACGAACTTTCCCGTCATCACTGGGAAACACTTTCACAATGACACCCATAGGCCAAAGGTTACGATGAACATCTTTATCGCGAAGTAACACAATATCACCTTGTGTAATGTTTCTTTCACTACGCGTCCACTTGCGACGAATCTGTAAAGTATAAAGATACTCTTTTCTCCAGCGTGTCCAGAATAAATCTGCCATATGCTGTACGCGTTTCCACTGAGCTTGATACATGTTCATCTTGTCAACAGGAAGGTCGACGATCACAGGAGTTTTCTGGGTAAGTATCATGGAAGGGCTCAGAGGGTACGGTTCATCTGCATCTTCCGATAAGGGGACTAATGGTCTGGCATTTACGATTGCTGAAACTTCTGCCATAAATGTCGTCAGTGTTTCATGAGTTAGTGATCTAGCTGGTATCTCCAACATAACTGCATCAATCACACGTCTTACTACTCCAATGAGGCGTTCCCATGCGCCACCCATATGCGAAGAGTGGGGTGGATTAAACTTCCAAGTAGTTCCACACTCATAAAGGAAGTTTTTGATTTTACCGTCTTCCAAGTTGAGTCCAGTTGAATCAATTTTCAGGTCATTTATAGCACCCACGAAATTGGTTCCTTGATCTGAACGAATTTGGGTAACTTTTCCTCGAATGACTTCAAACCGCTTAAAGGCATTGATAAATGATGAAGAGCTTAACTCCTCCACAACTTCAATGTGAATTCCTCTCGTTGTAAGGCAGGTAAATAAGATTGCCCATCTTTTCGAGTTTGCAGATCCTCCACGCGTCCGACGAGTAACTATCTCCCATGGTCCAAACGTATCCAGGCCAATGTAAGTAAATGGTGGACTAGGCTCCAAACGATCGGTAGGAAGGTCCGACATTTTTTGACACAATAGCTTTCCACGTAATTTTCTGCATTTGACACAGTTGTGAAGTATGGATGAAACTAATTTTCTGGCTCCTATTATCCAGAATCCAGCACTACGAATCGCTCCTGCTGTTAAGTGGCGACCTTGATGTTTACAGAGTTCATGATAGTCACGAACAATCAACAACGCTATATGATGGTTTCTGGGTATTATCACTGGATTTTTCTCATTGATTGGTAAAGAACTTTTGTTGAGACGTCCTCCGACTCTCAGTATTCCATCTTTATCCAAGAATGGCGAAAGAGGTAAAATGTTACTATCTCTAGGTAGAGGTTTTTCTTTCAATATGCACTGAATTTCTTCTAAATACACTTCATTCTGCACAATTTTGATGATAAGTTTCTCAGCTTTGTTGAAATTTTCCACAGTTCTTGAATCTTCACACACATGCCACCCAGAGCATTTACTGTCTCCTTGTTGAAAGGAATGTGCTATATGCTGAAGTCTGGCAATAGTTTCAACAAGTTTCCTCCATTGCGAAAAACATGAGAATCTTTCTGATTTCAGTCCAAGTCTAGAAATGTCAACCTTTAGACAAGTGATTTCTTGTCTGACTTCCCTGTCTGAATCTGGGTCCACCATCTCATAAGATACGCATGGGTGCTGAATCTGTTGTAAGTGTGCAGGTGATGGTCCTAAGAGCCAAGTACTGTTTTGTAGAGCTTTAACTGGTATCTGTCTTGTTGCTTGATCAGCTGGATTTTTGTCTGTTGATATGTATGACCACTGATCTGGTTTGGTCACTTTACGAATTTGCATCACTCTGTTTGCCACATACTGATAGAATCTCCTTGAATTGTTGAAAATATATCCCAACACTACTTTACTATCACAGTAAAACTTAAAATGTTCAATCGGTAATTCTAGCTGTTCTGATACACACTTAGCAATTTCCACAGCTAGCACAGCGCCACAAAGTTCTAAACGTGGTATCGAATGTCCTTTTAAGGGCGCAAGTTTTGATTTGCCGAGGATAAATCCAAAGTTTCCTTGTGATTCTACATAGGCCACTGCTGATATTGCTGATTCTGAAGCATCACAAAAAATGTGAATTGTTTTGTTCATTGTCTCACTCCACGACTGAGTCAGTTCTATGTAAACTCTTGGAATGTGTAGATTTTGGAGATGTTGTAAGGAATTTTTCCATTTTTCCCACTGAGTAGACTGATTTTCTGGTAAAGGTTCATCCCAGTTGACCGTTTCTTGAAGTAGATTCCTCATAAGTGACTTGCCTTGGATGATAATTGGGGCGAGAAATCCTAGGGGGTCAAATATACTATTTATTGTTGATAACACACCTCTTCTTGTGAATGGTTTGACATCATTTGAAATTTTAAAGAAAAACGAATCTGACTGTAAGTCCCAATTAAGTCCTAGACTGCGCTGTGTTGGTAGATTGTCTTTTGATAAATCCAAGTCTTTCATTTCACTTGACAGATCACTAGGTGGAAAAGCGTTCATAACTTCCTGGTTGTTTGAAGCTATTTTGTGTAGACGTAATTTCCCATAACTCAATGCTTTCTGTGTTCTTTTCATTAGGTCCACAGCTTTTTCTACAGTAGGTTGTGATGTTAATCCATCATCCACATAAAAATCACGTTCTACATACTGAATTACATCTGTCCCAAACATATCTTCTACTTCCTTCACAGTCTTGCGTAATCCGTAGGTTGCGATGGCTGGCGAGGGACTGTTTCCGAAGATGTGAACAGTCATACGGTATTCGATCAGTCTCTTTTCAGGATTGTTGTCTTCATGCCATAGAAATCGCAAGAAATTTCGATGAGGTTCATAGACTTTAAAACAATAAAACATCTGTTCAATATCTCCAATTAATGCGACTTTCTCTCTGCGGAACCGTAGTAAAACACCCAGAAGACTGTTTGTCAAGTCTGGTCCGGTAAGTAGTACGTTGTTAAGCGACTTTTCTTCGAATTTTGCTGAAGAATCAAACACAACTCGAATTTTGTTTGGTTTCTTTGGGTTGTAAACTCCACACAATGGTAAGTACCAACACTCTTCTCCATTCTGTAGAGGCGGTGCTATTTCTGCATGATGATTCTTGAACAATGCATCCATAAATTCCACAAAATGTTCTTTCTTTGTAGGATCCTTCTGCAAAGTGTAATCTAACTGTTTTGCTCTCTTCCTAGCTTGATCATAGTTGTTTACTAGTCTTTGACGGTCCTTACGAAAAGGAAGTGGAGCTTGCCAATGTCCATCAAGATCTTTTGTAAATTCTAAATTCATGATGTCTAAGAACTCATGATCATCCATAGAAAGTCCTAACTTTTCATCATTCTCTGTCCTCTGAAAAACACTTTCACCAATTTCAGTTTTTGTACACATGATGTTTGTTGAGGTTTCATTGAGGATTTTTTCTTTGACCTGTAAGTTACTGTTGCAAGGTAGCATCAGAGTTGGACGGCCATCAGGTAGAACACAAGTTTTCATGACATTAATGACATCTGGTTTATGGGTTTTTCCCAAACAAGTCTCACCAATGATAGTCCAACCAAGGGACAGTTTTTGGGCATAGGGTTGATTTCCCAATCCAATGCGTTGGTCTAAAACGTGATGTGCTTTGGTTATGTCCCTTCCTATCAGTAACAGGATTTCTGCATTAGGATCAACTGGTGGTATGTGATCAGCAATGTCATGCAAATGTTCATAATGTAGGGCTACATCTGGTGTAGGAATTTCCTCTCTGACTTCAGGAATTTCATCACACTCAATGATGGTAGGTATATCTATACAGTTTTGTCCATCTAATGACTCAACAACTAATCCATGAACTTTACGTCCTGACCTTTGAACTTTTCCTGAACAAGATGTTAACAGGTAATTTGTCATAGTTCCATGAGTGTCCATAAGATCAAAGAGTTCTGGTTTAGCAAGTGTTCTGTTTGACTGGTCATCAATCACTGCATAAATTTTCACAGATTTTTGCGGACAGTGTTTTGGGTACACATGCACCAGAATGGTTTTAGCACAAGATTTTCCACCAAATGTTTGTCCACAGATTTGTGTACACTTAGAATTCACAGCTGGGTTGTTCACATTTTCAGAATCTAAAACTTGTCTCTCAGTGAAATTCTCCCCGCCATAGTTTCTCCAAGGGTATGAAGTCTGAACTTTTGTCCTGTTCACATGTAATGGTGATGTGTGAAATTTGCTTCCACATTCTCCACACTGCACATCAGAATGACACTCTGCTTGTTTATGATCTCTTGAACAACATCTATAACACAAATTGTTATCTTTCAAGATCTTCCTCCGTTCGTCAAATGGCTTTGTTCTGAAAGCTCTGCACTGTTCCAAGGAATGGTTTGTCTTATGAAGGGGACACTGGTTTTCTTTTCCTGAGTTACGAAGAATCTGTGGTTGCCGAGACACAGCTGTTTTCCTGCTTGAAATCTTCAGAGTTTTGTCACTGTGTTTCTGCATATGCAAGTTTCTATCTGTATAAGCAAAACTGGGATTGTTCTTGATACGGCTTTGCTCACGAATAAAGTTTGCAAATACATGAAATGGGGGAAACACAACATGATGTTCACTTATGTATTTCACTGCTGTATTCGTCCATTTTTCTTGAAGTTGGTACGGAAGCTTCATGACGATAGGTGTCACTCCTGTCGACGCATCAAAATATGCAAGTAATGACTGGTAACGGATATCTTCTTTTGCTGCTAGGATTTCATCCAAAATATCAGACAAGTCATATAGACGACGATAATCTTTCGATGTAATAGGAGCAAATGAGTTCAGTTTTGTTTTTAAAGCAGATTCTATCATTTCAGGACAACCAAATCTCTCCTCTAATCTTTGCCAAATTCTCTGAAGTCCATGCACTGGATTGCTGGCACTTGCTGCTTTAATGCTGATAATCTGTTGTTGTGCTGATAGACTAGTGAATTTGATAAGAAAGTCAATTTCCTCTCCTGGTGTCACTTGTAAGTCTCTCATAACAGATTTAAAGGTTGCTTTCCATGACGGGTAGAATTCAGGTTTGTCATTAAATTTGATGAGACGTGAAAGCATC